CAGCTGCTGATGTTTGAACTTAAGCTGGGGAGATGTCAGGTAAAATCCCCAATGCTTTTAGCAGGGTAACACAGGAAAATTTCACACGTGAATGAAACCAGCCCTTCCTTGCCCCATGTTTTGCTGGTGATCTGTTACTGTATCCTAGCTCTACTCTGAAGGATGTACAGGCTAGACAGCAGGGGCAAACACAGATGTTGAAGCAAGGAGTTGGAAAGCAGCACACCTTCCCCAAGCACGCTCAGCAGGTCCATGCCAGGAGGAAGGAGAGGCAATGAAACTGCACCCATCCAAGTCCCTTTGCCGTTTTGTTGGCAAATCCAAAACCGAGGCAAATCCAAAGCCAAACAACTTTCTCTGCAAGCCCAGCTGTTTGGGCCTGGGGGATTCTTGTGGGAGGAATAGAGCCTGTGTGGTAAGAAGGAGCTGAAGAGGTCAAGGAGAGGTTTGAGAGCCTGCCCCTGGGCAATTACTCACAGCTCTTTATTAAACCCTGAGCTTTCGTGGTCACTAAATCTCACCGCAAACATAGGAAATTACTTATCAAGTCATTTCTGCCCTGGGGGAGATTCAAGGGCAGGAGAGCTGTGCCACACAACATGATGCCTGCAGGAGGGAGGATGGCAGTTCATTCATTTGTCCCTGTGCCTCTGGCCCCTCTTCCACACCAGAGACTCCCTTCAGCAGTCACTCAGCCACGAGTCCAGGCAGAAGCTCAGCCCTGCTGAGGAGACATCACATTTCGGCCAGTGTAAGTGGCCAAGCATGAAGCAAAGCTTCCCAACAACAACCGAGGTTTGGAGGATGTGTCCTGCAGTGAGAGATTTATGGAGTTCAACCTACTTAATGCAGCAGACGTTAAGAAGCAACTTGTTCATGGGTCTATAAATGCCTCTCCAAACAGTAGCGAATGGATGCTAGATGACTTCTAATCTAGCAGACAGAGGTAGAAAAACATCTAAGGGCTGGAAGATAAAACACCACTAACAAAACAGAAGTGAAGTGACGAGCATGCGTGAGGAAGGAGGGTCTGCATTTTTTCAGAGCAATGGGGACAGCAAACCAATGGAAAAGTTTATCAGGAAAGGCAGGAAAAACACCAGCACTTCAGACTAGCAATATCTTGATTCAGTTTTTTGAGAACTAAGAAGTTCCATTTAAATCTCAGTTTCAAGTTCTTTGCTGAAATGAATTTGTGAAATTCTCTGTCCGAGACATGAAACCAGACTCGTTCATCATAAAAATCCCTCCAGCCCTGGAGTCATCTACTTTACCAGGGAGCAAATAATATATTTCAAGTGCACACATTTAACCCTGTTTTGCAGTCAGCATCTTGGATCCCTCCAAGTGGGGATATGAAGAGCAGAAGGACCAGAGCATGCTGGTTATCTCTTTGGGCTACCAAAATGTGACAGCACTGCAATGGCCTTCCAGGAACAGATTATATGGAGACAAGACTAATTAGACATTCATTAAGTGCCTAACTCAGCACAGCATTTAAGCACACAGTTAACCTTCTCTCATTACAATGTCACATCAGTGACAGTGTCTCTTTTAAAGCTCTGGCTCCAATTACAGTGAAGCCAGCTCACATTTGGGAGGGTCACCAGGATTTTCAAACCCTGAAGTCCCAACGCCCCGTGTTTCAGGAAGCTCTCCCATCTGCAGTCCTCTGGTCTCCTACCCCAAACTGATGTGGGAGCCTATTCCAGGAATGTCAACTTGCATTCCCAAAAGAGAGTTCATCTCTAAACTTCAGGACCTACAACCAGTCTCTGTCTTTTTTCCATGTTGCCTGAGTCAGCCAAGGGACATCTGATGCTGGCCAACAATATTTCCCCTGTTGAATTGTCTTCTCCTAGAAAAAATGCCCTGTTCAAGCCTTCCCAGAGCACCTCCTTAAGGTAGCTTCAGCAAGGAGGGGAGATGTGGGGGGTGGGCCGCTGCTGTCAATACATTTCCAAGCGTGTCTTGCTGATCACGAGGACAAGCTCTGTGTGCAGCAAGACACCGAAATATCTCCTGCTGCCTCTGTATCCTGACAGATTCTTCCCACCCCCTGTAACCTCTGCAACTCTGCGTGTGTCCTGGACAGCGAGTGCAAAGAGAGTGTCTCACTAAACCTGGGAAGCAAATTTGGAGCGGTCTCTCCTACCTCCAGACATTGAAGAACAGATGCTGCGGACAAGACAGGGTCACTTCGGCAGAGTCACTTTGTGAAAACCCGTTGTAAATGTCCACAAACATCCCTGTGTACCTGAACCAAGTGCAAACTCATTAGCCATGTGTGAAATCAGGGTGGCAGTTAGGTTTCTTGAGTGCCCCAGTAGCTCTGGAGCAACAGGGTCAGTACGCACACTTCTCCACCACGGCCAGAACATCTGTGGCCTGGGTTGGCAGCAGAAGTTCATCTCCCAGCTCTGCTCTTTGGCCACCAAAGCCAATGTCCAGCCCAAGAGATCTATTCTTGGACTGCTCTTGAGTGACTTCAGAGAGCAGGGAGAGGACACCATCTAATCCAGCACACAGACACATATATGCATTCTCCATCCTTCGGTATACCAGTGCCAGGGATGGGGAGTGAACCTTTCCAAAAGGATCTCACCCCACAGACTCTGTGAGCCAAAGCATGGCTGCTTCCAAGGCAGCATCTCATTGTAGCCTCTGTAGATTTGCACCCACCCGTTTGCTTTGGAAATATCCCAGGTGTAGAAGAGGCACATCAGGAAAAGTCAGGCTCCACATTTTGGGCTGGTATCTTATTGTCTGGCAATTTCTTACGTGCCTTGAAAGTCATCAGACTAGATTAGTACGACACACGCATGCACCCTTGTTCAAAGATGAAAGTGTCAAAACAGGCCCAGAAACAACAAATGACTCGGGAAACAGCAGGGGAAAAAAAAAGCTTGTAGGAAAAAAAAAGGTACAAATACAATCAGGACAACGACAGCAATAATCAGTATCAGCACTCAGAAATCGGGAATGCTATCAAAACATTCCACCCACAAAATGCTGTTAGGGGATCGCTGGCTCTCTGTCCAAATTGGATCTCACCTCCATCTTCCTGATCAAGCCTTTGCAAAAATCAAAACAGACACAGTGACAGACAGAGCAGCACATGGAGAGCCCGGCCACCCTGCAAGCATAATTTCTATGTAGATGGCATCCCACCAGTGAAGATGATAATTCTGTATCTTCAATATGGAGCAGATGTGAGCAGCCAGCAAAAAAAATTATCTACGCTTTCTACAAATGTTTGACACCCAAAAAGGATTTTGATTCAGCCACCTTTGAGCCTCTTTCATATTTATTTTCTGGGAACATTCAAGCACTCAAGCTGGACTAGGAGAGATCTTTACAAAAGCCAATATTAAGCTTGAATGCTTCAGGATTTGCTGAAAATCTTATTTCAAATTTCACCTTTGGTTGCAATGAAAAAGGTCACGCTGCTTGGGTTGAATGCATAAATCATCCAATCAGCAAATGCAAGGCATGACACATGACTTAACGAAGCCCACATCACTCTGAGGAGGCAGCCAACACGGTACTCCTCGCAAGCTGTTCACACAGGAGAAAAGGGCATTGCAAAGAAATGTGAAATCTGGAGAGCGAATATTGCAGTGTGCTCATAGCCGGGGAGGCACGGCTGAAGAACTAATTTGCAGGATTTATGGCTCGGCTGTGTGCCTTCACATATTGATTCACAGATCAGTGAGAAACAAAATCTTCCCCAAAATACACTGACGAAAGCACTAATACCTGATCATATACTAATCTCTCAGCTAACGCCAGACTGCGGTCTGCAAGAAAATCACGCTGCACAGCTTGGACCTGTGCCTGGTAACCTCCTTCCTACTGCAAACAAATTTAGCCTCCTCCCCCCCGCCTTGAGAAATTCCCCCTTGATTGGGGGTGGCTGCAAAAGCCAGGCAGGAGCCCCAAAGCCCAGACCCAGATGGATGCCAACTTTCTCCCGGTGGCAGAGGATATTTCAAACCAGCACCTGAAGAAGATGAGACCCTGAGGTGGGGGTCAGGCACGGGTCTGAACCTTGCCGATTGGAGGCTCCCCTCCCCACTGCCCAGATTCCCATTTAGCATCCCACCTCCGCTTTACATAACCTGAGTGCTGGCAGGTGGGATGGGAGCTGAGAATAAACACATCAGCACAGACCTGACACAGGTGCTGAAATACAGGATTCGCTTTCGGACCCCCCGATTCCCTTCTGCTTTGCATGGCACCATAACACTGGCGGAGACCATGTCAGATCTCTGGAAGGAGCATTTCCCTCCCCAGACCAGTGCCCAGATCAGACCTCGGGAGCATCTCATCTTTATTCATACCCTTTTTTGTCACGCCTCTTCCACCTCTCTAGTCCCTTTCCAGCCCATACCATACTCAAGGTCATCATCAAAACACTGATGAAATATCTGAGGAATGAGCCCCAGAAAAGGCACTAAGTAACCCCACAAAAGCAGCATGGTGAGTTTTCTTTCTGAAAGCCTCCAGAAGGAAAATGAGGCTGAGAACAAAATGAGCGTGCCTTCTGTTGCTGTTGCCTCAAACCAGACCCAAGAATTAAGTTTTTCCCATGAATTAAAATGGTTGTTAGGGCTGCTGAGTGCAGCCCGCCTCAGGAGGTAGCTCGGATCCTGCCTTTTCTAGGACATCTGTAATTACGCTGGAAAAATGCTCACCCTCAGGTAAGACTCTCCCCTCAACAGCTCTGAGGCTGCAGAAGTAAAACAAGTAAGGCACAAGCCCCAGGAATGAATGAAACAATTTGGGGTATATTTAGGGGAAGCTGCTTTGCAATTCCAGTCACAGGCTTATGAAGAGCCACTGAGGGTTACCAGACCTGCCTATCAATTAGGAATTAAGGTTTTCATACCAGGCATCCGCAGACTCAGACACAGAGGTGATGGGGACAGTGCGAAACCCCGGAGAGGAGAGCCCAACCAGCCCTCCCTCCCAAACACCCCCAGCTGCCCTCCACTCACCCAGGAGCTCCACTCCGCTGCTGTCCTTAGGGCTGCTCATGCAGTTCTCCAAGTAAATTCCATCCTTATAGCAATCTTCCTTCTTCCTCGTGAGCCCCAGGATCTCGCTGGCCTGATCTAGGACCTCCCCTCCTGAGCAAGAGCACGGGGTCTGCATAATGCCGCATGGATGGGAGCTGCTGCTGATGGCCAAGCACGCATCCAGCCACTTGCAGAGCATCTGGCAAGCGGCTTTGCTAGGGTTCCTGTTGCCCACCACGAGGTACTCCACCGAGAAGTCCCTCTCCTGAGCCTTTGTGGGCTTCCACCGCACGGGCCAGGTCTCCACCCCCGGTGGCGCGGTCTGCTTCATCTGGAGGAACTGCTTGTTGGACTGGAGGAAGGCATAGCGGGTGGACCCGTCACAGAGCTTCAACACATCGTCGAAGCTCTCCATGCCCAGGTAGGTGCGGGTGGACTCCAGGAAGGAGTCAAACTGGTAGGTGCGGATGTGCTGGTGGTCACATACGCCTGTAGGTTTTAGGATCTTCATGTACAAAGTGTACCTCCGAGGGTCAGGGTTCTGGATAATCCAAGAGCAGAGAGAGGAGTTCAACGGGAAGACAGCAAAGGAGGAGAAATACCCAAAGAATTTGCCCTGGACCAAAGTGGTGCAGGGAGTTTGTGCCAGGTCCAGAGCGACCACGGTCCACACAAAGTAGAGTGGCGATACCAAAAGCAGGTTCAGGGCAGATCCAATGCTCCTCATCCTAGGTCTCTGGTCCTCTGGAACTCAAAGTAAATGTCAAGCAGGCGCCAGATCCTGGACATAACAGGGACCAGCTTAGAGGAAAAGTGAGAGTTTAAGAGGCTCTGGATCCGAAATCAAGCCAATCCTCCCATGTCTGGATTTGAGCTCCCTCCTGTGGCCATAAACAACACCTGGAAAAAAAGGGCAGGGAAGGAGGAGGGGAGAGAAAGAGATTTGGGATTTGGGTTTTTTGATGTTTTTTTTTTTTATTTTTTTATTAACCCTTTGCAAGGATGAGAATCCACACAGCATCCCCAGTCCCAGCACATCTCACTGGGGGAAGATGCAGCCCCACATCACCATCCCCATGCTAGGTTTGGGGCTGTCCTCATCCCCAGGATGTCCTAACCCCCAGGAGGGGCCCAGGTGTGACTCACAATGGGGGACAACATAGCTGTGACCCCGCTTTCTCAGTGCCCTCTGCCCATGCAGTGCCCCTCTGCTGAGCTCAGCAGAGCCTTTGCAGTGATTTCTAACCATCTCCCCAAAGCAAACACCACTGATCTCTGTTTTAGGGAGTTTCCACCCCTCTCCATCCCAACAGAGCCAGGATGCTGGTTCAATGCAGACTTCAGGCGGCACCAGGGGAGGGTGGGCTGGAGACAGCCATGGGCAGCTGGGCTCTGCCTTCTCTCTTCCTCCTGCCAGCCCTTGTTTTTTTGCTTTTTTCTGTCTCTCCTTTTCTCTCTCTTCCCTCCTCTTCCACCAAACCAGTGCTGGGAAAGGGAGTTGTTCAGTACCCCAACCCTGAGCCCAGACAGGAGGCCAGGGCTGGAATGAGCCGTGCACCCAGTACAGGAGGAAAAAAGGGTGATAGAGGCAGATTTTAGGTCTTCCCACATCAGGCAGCCACCCCACCTTTAACCCCTGTGTGCAGGATACCCCGAAGCCTGAGGAACTGTAGCCGGGCATAGAGCATCTCCAAAGAGTGAGAGTCCTCCCTGCCAGCCCCAGCACCTCCTTCAGCCCCCGAAGTCCCTTCAGCAAAAGTAACATCCTTCCTGCATTGCCCCATGGGACCTGTTCCCTGCAACCCTTTGTAGTCCAGACCCCCTCTCCAGCCCAACTGCCCAGACCCCTGTGGCCCCGTCCATGCTGAAGAGATTCCTGTGCCCTCTCCATTCTTGTAAGTCTCCCTCTTTCTTACCCCACCAAGAAGACCCTCCTGTGCTCCCTTGCCTCCATCTCCCCTCTTTCCAGGGAAGGAGAAAGAGGGGGAAACACCGTCAGTAGCAGGACTCTCTTCGTCTTGTACCCCTTCCCCATGCAGTGTGCACCCCCATGTTTGGGGAGGGGGCCTATTAACAGATGCTGGGGTTGACAGGCAGGAGGGACAGACCCTCAATATGTGGGGCAGAGCTTTTCCCATTGCTGGGCATACAGCTATGGCACCTTTTCTTTCTCACCTTTCCAGCCATTTCCTTTCCTGCCCTCTTGGCTCACCCCAGGTAGAGAAAATCAGGAGTTTCCCCTTGGGTAAGGCTTGCCCTGGCCCTGCAGCACGTGCTGCCTCCAAAACAGGGCTGCTGCCCAATTTCAAAAGGACAGATCAGACCCCTGGGAGGAAGGTTTCCCCTACCAAGTCAGACTACTGCCTTGATTTCAGGAGCCTCCGTGGCAAGTGCTCAGGGCCTCTGCATTGAAGCCTGAGTGCAAGCAGCTCAGCTCCTGAGATGTTAACATTGTCCTGGGCTGCAACCCCAAAATAATTCAAATCATCTTGGATGTGTTTCTCAGTGATCAGGGACCACAGTGGCACTGCCAGGAAGGAATTAGGGTGAAAGTCTATGGAGAGGCGCACCTGCTGCAAGAGAGGAGGGAAAACACATCTTCTCCATTGCAGTCATTGACCCTCCTCACAGCCCCAGGGTGTCCACACTGCTCACCCCCAGTCCTGCCATCTCCCACCCCGCTGCCAGGCTCTGCCTTCCCAGACTGCAAACAGAGGAAGCTTTCACAGCAGCCATACAAATTTCCAGTAAATCTACAATTCAGGCAACTAAATCCAATCCCAGGAGAGACTGAAAAATAGGAGATGAAGCCCATAGACCATCCTGTGCATCTGGGAAGAGATAAGAAGCCAAATGCATCTCCACATTCACCCCTTGGTTTCTCTCTTTGCTCTATATTAAAGTTTTGTCTCTGCATCTTCCCTCTTCTGCAAAAGCCTTTTTTCCTGGGGAGGAAAGGGTTAGGTAACTCGAAAGTCAGATCTGCTATTTGCAAACTGTGTTTCATCCAAGCTTCAAATCAATGCAGCCTCTGCCAGCAGATTCCTGAGTGTCTGTTAGACCTGACACTAATCAGCATGGAGTCCAAATGCATTTGCACTTAAATTTTTTAGAAGTCACTTCCCCACTCTTGACAGTGGTTTGCAGCCTGCAAAGCTCCGCAGTGCAAATTTCCCCATGCCAGACTCCTGCCTGCCTCAGGGGCCAGATTTCAGGAACGCAGCCTGCTTAACGGATGTAAAGCAGCGCTTGTTTGCAACAAAAACCACAGGCATCAACCAAACATCCTATAAATTTCCAGAGAGGTCATCCTGATTAGCAGGAGGAGTTGCTTGAAAATGACTGTGAATGCCTTAAATATCAGCTTTGGTAAGCAAAAGGTTTTTGCTCAGCTGAGACTCTGAAACGGATCGCTGGTTCGCCTCTCCCTCGCCGTAGGGCAGTGCCTGAGCAGCTCGTGCTGTTTGCAAGCAGGCACAGCCTTTGCAAAGCCAAAGTCTCTGACCTTCACACCGATGAGCCAGCCAGGGATCATCTTAACCTCTGGTCCAGACCATGAAGAAACCTGCCTCTCCCAGTTGGAAGCAGGAGCCAGCGGTGCCTCCATAGCAACGAGATGATTAGGAGACAGGGCTTGCGCCGAGATCCGGTCCCTAACAGTGACTTCAGTGCGTGGGATTCAGCCCAAGCCTCCTGCCCTCCACAAACCCGATTTTTCTCACGCTGGCCACAGACCTGCTACTGAATGAGCATGCAGCAAGCACAAAATGCATCCCCCCTCACCGCCCCTCTCTGGGAAAAGCACCGTAAAAGCCAACAAACTTTAACTAAACAGACACATTATTGGGACGCTGTGTTACGGTTGTTAGGTCTCAGAATTGATTTCCCCTGAATGCAGTCCCATCTGGAAGGTTTCACCATAAGGAACATAAACATTTTTTTTCTCCTTCAACTAATCCTTGCTGAAGTGGGAATCTTTACTTAGAGCAGAAGAAGTGAATAGACAAACCCCCCTCCACACCTGGATCTTTGGCTCAACACATTTTGGACCTGGCAGGGAGGGAAGATGCAATGGGCAGTTGACTGGCTGCTACATTTCAGCAGAGATCCATCTTCTACGCTTTAATCCAGAAAAATCCCGGGGGGGGGGCATATACCAGAGGCTGCAGCCTGCAGCTGGGGAAGTGATATTAAATGCGTGAAGACAGATTATTCCAGTGTTGGAGACCATGTTCCTATGGCACACAGGCAAATTTGCCCATATTCCCATGGTTGCTGCCACAGCTAGTGTCTAGGTAGCCTGGCTATTACTGTAATTTTGTGTGATGGGAGACATCCATGCCTGGTCCCATCCCTTGGCTCCAACTTGGAGTACATGTCACCCCTCCTGCCCTTTCCTTCCCGTCCTGTGCCTGGGAGATGGGTCTGGCAGAGATGCCTTTTCTGGAGTAAAGCTTGGGGACCGCAGGTGACCGTGGAGTACCTTGGGCTGTCCCTTGCCTGCATTTCTCAGGGACAAATCAAAGGGCAAAAATACTGTCTTCTTTGTGTGTGTGCCCCTGGCAGAAGGCAGTTGTTCATCCCAAGCAACTCACAGAAAGAGGCTGACAAATTTGGTCCGAATGGCCCTTCTGCCTTGTTGCAGGTGTTAGAGATGACGAAGCAGAGGGTTATGAAGAGATGTGAACCACTGGCATGGCTCCTACACCCTCACACCACTGCACAGAGCCCTGGTAATTTTTTCTACCTCCTTGCTGAGTATTTGCCATCCCACCCTGGCACCCACTGGAGCAGGCACAGTTCAGAAACACAACCCGGGACAGGCCTTCACAGCTTCAACAAAACCAGGCAGGGACTGAATCACATGTTACACCTGGCATCTGGGCTGCCCAAGGGGTTTAGGCATCCAGTTTGCACTGCTCCCAGTGAATTTTTGAGCCTGCAAGCCATGGTGGGCTGTTTGGTGGTGCACCCTGTCTTCCTGCAGTAATGGTAAACCAAGATGATCCAGGTCTGAGGCTGGAGTTTTCCACCACCCTCATGTCCCTGCTTGTTTTCTACACACGTTTGTACACCCCAAGCACACTCCACGCCCATCCTGGGCATGCAGGCAGCAAGGGATATGTGTGAGTAGGGAGGGATCAGGGCATCCCCTGAAAGCGCCTACAACTGCCTTCACCCTCAGCCTGAATAGCCCCGCATGCCAATTCACCCTGCCCCACCAAGACCTTCCAGATGGACATCTCCGAATTGCTGTGTCCAACTTTGCAGCTGTGCCCCAGCATAAGGATTTCAGCTCTGCATGAGCAGGAGAAGCCGGTGAAATGCAGGCGGTGCTGCAATGTGCCCTCCTTTGCAGGGTCTGTGCATTGCACAGAGTCCTCCCGCGCGAGAAGGGCAACCTCCCCGGTTGTGCATCCACCACCTTCCTCGGTTGTGCTGGTGACACAGGAGTCTTGCTGCAGCAGCCTGGATCTGGCCAATGGAGGGCACTCTCAGACATACACACAAACACACACACAAACACACAAACACTTCACGGAAAAAAGGGGAAAAAAAATCAAAACAATGACTGCAGAAAGGGCATCCTTCCCCACTGCTGCCTGTAGGACCTCTCCAAACACCCTCACCCTGATCTGCCCCCACTAGCTCAGCCGTGCCCCAACTCCCCTCTCTCTGCCCACCAGCGCAGATGTGCTATCGTCCAAGATTTACCTCCCTCTGCTT